CTCGTTATCAGTCATGAGATATTTAGCATTTGGGTACACTTGTGTGAGTACTTCTTCTATGTATTCGTGGCAGTTTGTTGTTGTGTTTAGTTTTCGTAGGAAACAATATTTGGAGTATCTATCTGTGGAGCTAAGATACTGCATGTTATTTATATGGAATATGTCCATCTGTATGTATTCTCCTACTCGTGTTGGTATTGTGGTTTTTCCTATAGGTTGTTTGTTTGGTTGTCTTTCATATTTGTGCTGTAAACATATTTCACAATCTACTGCTTCTTTTCTGCACCTCTCTTTAATGTTGGGCCAGTAGTGGGTCAACAATATTTCTTGTGTGTTATTTTTGTAATTTCTATGTGCACGTTTATGTGTCTGTTTGACGATTTCACTTTGCTCATTTAAGGAAGTTACGTCAATTAGCTGATTTTGGGCTAGTACCAGGGTGCAATTTGGGAATGTGGAAGTTATTTCTTTTTTTAAGTGAAATAGTATTTCTTCGTCTATTTTTATCGCATTAGTGAGTTTTGATTTAATTACATTTTTTAATTTGGAGAGCAAATCTGGGGTATCTTTAAAAAATATTGTGTGTCTAGATTGACCGGGAAATGTTGTTTGATTAAGAATTTCGTTTCTTTCATTATCTTGTAAAATAATTATTTGATTTTTAAAAGAGTTTAGTGGTTGTTTAACTTTTTTCATAATTTCATTTGGAGAGCTTTGTTGTGAATGGTCTGAACAATCTGTTGTGTTGTTGACTTGTTGTCGGGAAAGTGCGTCTGCAACAACGTTCTGGTGTCCAGGTTTATAAACTAGTTTGGCACCGTATTCTTCAATTAGATTTTTCCAACGTTTTAGCTTTGCATTTGGGTTTTTTTCGGAAATCGAAAAAATTAAGGATTGGTGATCTGTGTAAATTGTTAGGTTTGCTACACCGTACAAATAGTTTCTAAGTTTTTGTAAAGACCAAACGATTGCTAGTAACTCTTTCTCATTTGTACTATAGTTTTGCTCTGTTTCATTTAGTGTGCGTGAGATGAATGCGATTGGGTGGCGATTTTGAGATAAGACTGCTCCGATGGAAAAATTGCTAGCATCAGTTGTTAAGCTAAATGGTTTAGAGAAATCTGGTTGGAAAAGTTCAACTTGTTCTTGTAAAGCGTTTTTTATTTTTTCCATGGCTTCTACTGCTGCTGCGTCTAAGCGTATTGATACTTTGGCACTTTGATTTTTAGTTACCATTCCTAATTCTCCTTTCAAATGAATTGTTAAGGGTTTCGTGATTTTAGCAAAATCTTTTATAAACTTCCTATAGTAACTAGCAAGTCCTAAGAAAGATCTCAATTCTTTTAAATTTTTTGGTTGTGGGTAGTTCTTTATAGTTTCAACTTTTTTTGGATCTACGGTAATTCTATTGTGTTTTATAATATGTCCTAGGTATTCTACTGAGTCTTGGAAAAAATGTGACTTTTCGTCAGAAATTCTCATGTTAGCATTGTGAAGTGCATTAATTATAATCCGTAAGTGTTCCATATGTTCTTCTGCTGTAGATGAATAAATTAACACATCATCAATATAAACATACGCAAACTTTCCAATATATTCTCTTAATATGTCATCAACGCATCGTTGAAAGATTGAGGGTGCATTCTTTAATCCGAATGGCATTCTGATAAATTCATACTTCGCGCCGTTGACAGAGAATACTGTCTTTTCTCGATCAGATTCTTTAATTAGTATCTGATGAAACCCTGATTCTAAATCTAGTGTGGAAAAAATCTTTGCTTTTCCTAGGTTTTGTATTGTCATATTAACATCTGGAATTGGATATCTGTCAGTAATCGTATGAGAATTAATCTTTTGAAAGTCAACAACCATTCTTCGCTTGGGCTTGCCTTGGTCATCGGTGCCCTTTTTTGGAACAGTCCATATAGGTGAGTTATATGGGCTCTTGCTTGGCTGTATTATACCGTTATTTAAAAGTTTCTCAATTTCTTTCCTGACAAAGTCGTGATCAGACATGGGATATGGATATTGTTTTGTCCATATGGGATCTTCTGATTCAGTCCTGATAGATGCTTGTATCGTCGTTGTAAAAGGTAATGTTT